GTACATCAAACGGAACTAAGACTGTAGGAGATTTCAGTTATACGCCAATAAGACAGCAATCAAACGACAAAAACAACCAAAGCACATCTAGAGGGCAACATATATTTAGTAGTGTTCAACAAAAGACTGATTTCTTAACAATTTGTCAAGTTCTAAATCGTTTATGTCGGTTCAAAAGCTCACTCAGAGCTTATGCTGCATTGTTATTTATCTTGCCGACTTAAAAGAAAACTTATTTGATTTGATTTGTTCTTCACAAATTTATGTAAAAAAAGATTATGAAAGATCTGCAATTAAAACACAATTATCCAAATACTGTAACAATTTAGTTTAACAAACAATTTGCCTCAGTCTGATATAAAATAGTTGAAAGATAAATGTTTCTTTATTTGATATATATATATATATATATATATATATATATATTAAAAATTCCCTCATTTTAGCGACGCTTTTTATACGCATCATATTCAATCACAAAACAAAATTTACATAGATGCGATTCAAATGAAAGAACGAAAATGAGAAAAACAAAAAAAATCACACTAATGTGAAATTTAAATCAATAAACATTTTAATAGTAACTTTGAATCCTATAGATGCAGTGTCGAGGGATTTGATGCATTACGTTATTTGACATTGATTGCTTCGTCGTCTTCCTCCCATTCTTCTTCTCATTCATTACAGTTAAATATATACTTTTTAAATGTTCTATTGACAAGTACATGTAAACATTTGTACGATTTATCTTTCCGTGTTCTTATGCATAACAGACTGAGCTTTTTATTCTGGGTTGGTTTAATTTTGCCATACATTCTTATTTTATTAATGATGCATGCTGTTTCCCAAGAAAATTTTGTTCTGAAAGTAGAAATCCAAATGATATTTACGCATGATAATGTATGAAAATACGGGGAATTGTACCACAAGTAATGCAATTCCGCTAAGAAGCCCATTCGTTTTTAAATGGTCACCGAAAAATGTCGCTAGCAAAATAGAATAAACAGCTGCGCCATGAGCGCATGATACGCCCGTCGTCTTGTTATGAATTTTTATGCAATAAGCATAAATAGTTTCTGACATACGGCGTGACATGCGAAAACCCCCTTTTTTTTACAAAAAACTCAATATCTCTAAAATAATCTCTAAAATATAATTTTGAATCAAAACCAAAAAGTATACAGATCTTTAGATTAATATAACTAAAAAGTGTGTGTAAAATTTTAAGCAATAATCATAAATCATTTTTGAGATACGGCGCGACATGTGAAAACCCCCCTTTTAAAAAAAAATCAATATCTCAAAAATAAAATTTTGAATCAAAACCAAAAAGTATACAGATCTTTAGATCAATATAACTAAGAAATGTGTAAAATTTTAAGCAATAATCATAAATCGTTTTTGAGATACGGCGCGACATGTGAAAAACCCCTCCCCCTTTTTTTACAAAATACTCAATAACTCAAAAATAAAATTTTGAATCATCACCAAAAAGTATACAGATCTTAAGGTTAATATAACTAAGAAGTGTGTAAAGTTTTAAGCAATAATCATAAACTGTTTTTGAGATACGGCGCGACATGTGAAAAACCCCTCCCCCTTTTTTAACAAAATACTCAATATCTCTAGAATAAAATTTTGAATCATCACCAAAAAGTATACAGATCTTAAGATTAATATAACTAAGAAGTGTGTAAAGTTTTAAGCAATAATCATAAATTGTTTTTGAGATATGGCGCGACATGTGAAAAAAAAACACACATTGTGTTTTAGTTACTAAGTCCCGTAACTCAAAAAGTTTTAATCTTATTTTCACCAAAAAGTATACAGATTGTTTGACCATCATAAGAAACAACTATGTTAAGTTTCATGAAATTTGGATAAGTCATTCTCAAGTTACGGTGCGACATGTTTACGCCGGACAGACAGACGGACAGACGGACGGACACCGGACATTTGTATACCATAATACGTCCCGTCAAAAATTGACGGGCGTATAAAAAGGAACTTTATTAGAAAAAGAATACCGATAGCATTTAGCGAAAAAAAGCACCGTACAAGCAGACGTATAAACTCAGACAGAAAATGGTTTGTTGGCATGGAATGAAAAAAGAAGAGTAGTTGAACTTTACTATTTTGACCGAACAACTTGATTTATGTTTCAAGTGTAAACAGTCTTTGAAGCTTATTCGACTGTACAGAAAAATCCTATTTGGTTTCGGAAGCTTGTTTAAAATAAACTACTAGCATTGTAATCTTATAAGCACAGTCTAAACAGGGCAGCTACATCGGAATAAGGATAAAGCTAGCAAAGGCTTAAACATATGGGATGTCAACACTAAATGTGCACTCGATTAGGACGAAATAAAATAAAATCGTTCAGATCCCGTTACATTTTTTTCTATGAATTCCATTCTGAAATAAATTATTTTCTCGAAATTTACAATCAAGCGATTAATGAAAAACCTGCGGTCCTACAATAAATGAATGATCGATGCTTCGATGAAGGTAAATCCAAAAAAGCGCTTTGAACGCAAACATGTTATTAAAAGATATTTTCATTAACCTATTTTATTCAAACGGCAAAACAAACTGATTAAAAGAAAAGAGTTCCAATGCCCCCCCCCCCCCCCTTCCCGCGTTGTACATATTATATCTCTCAATGGCCTTTATAACTTTAAAAAAAATTGCTTGTTCTTTGATTTTTTTTATAAATATCGTTAATAGAGAAATGCAGGCTTGAGAGCAAACGATATAATTAATATTTCCAAGGGGCATAACTCTTTTAAAAATATTTGATCGGCACTGACTTTCGAAGTTATCCAAGACAATGCTGATATAAAACTTCAATATAAATTATTTAAAGATCTGGCAAAAAATGTACACTTGAGAGGGCTTACAAATGCAATTTTCCATATAATTAATATTTCCAAGGGACATAACTCTTTTAAAAATATTTGATCGGTACTGATTTTCAAGGCTGTCAGCGACGATGCTGATATAAACCTAATTTATAAGCTTTATAAAAATCTGGCAAGAATTGTACACGTGAGAGAGCTAAAAAGACCGGACGAACAAACGGACAGACGGAAGGACGAACGCCCGGTATTTTTATGTTCCACGCAACGTATCGCGCGGGGGACAAAAAGCCAACGAGATTTTAAAATCATTTTGATTTTAGATTCATATTATTTGCACTTAGGTCTTCGGGGATGAGTCAGTTTTTTTGGTGTTTTGAGTTGGACATGATGTACAGGTGCAGCTGACAAAAAACGCACCTTTTTACAAAGTGGGGAGACAAAACAACTCACAGACGATTAGCAAAGGTGCCCTTTTTTTTTGGGGGGGGGGGGGGGGAGTTATTGGGCATATTGCTCACCAAATGTGTCTTTTAGACACAACTATTTTAAATTGTATTGAAAATGCATGAAATATTTGCCACCGGACGTTAAGCAAACCACCAATCAATCAATTCAAATTGTACCTCAACATCACTGTTTACCGAATCAAATTTTTGAAGCACTTTATTTTATTCATGCATGGATACATCGGTGACATCATCTTTGTTTAGTTTGGTAGGGTTAAGTTGACGATTCAGTTTTGAAAAGCTTAAAGTGCACCCAGTTAAGACGAACGTCAGTCGAACGTCACACGTTTTCTGTCAAATTCTAAGCGTATCGGTCAACTTTGAAGCAATTTATCTAAAAAACAAGGATGGTGACATATGTATTTCTATACATGCATGGATTCAGTATACAATCCTGGATATTATGTTAGTTTTTAGTCTTTCTCCGTTTATAAGAACATAGCCATCCATTGAAAAATCTAAAAAAAATAAGTGAAAAAAAGACATTTTCCCTATATAACTAGGTAAAATTGTCGCCAAAATTGACCTTTCTTATAAAAATAAAAAAAAAAAAAACAAAAATAGTGACCCCCATTTTTTATTTCATATTCCGATATAACTCAATTCAAAGTACCATGCAGTGTGCCAAAAAATTTAGAAATCGGGAGATATGCCATTCGGTATTGTGTTACCTTAATACAGTTATTGACCAATCAAATCTGTATATATCATTTAATTTGAACGGTCGGGATGACCCATTAACCCAAACTCCTACGTCGTTCGGGTCAAGTACGGTCACCAGATCGGTGCAGATTAAATGATATATACTGACTTACTTGGTCAATAACTACGACTCAATCGACATTAGAAAATCAGTATTATGCGTTTAATTGACATTAATAAATCGGTACATGTATTATGCGTTTAATTGACATTAGAAAATCGGTATTATACGTGTAATTGACATTAGTAAATCGGTACATGTATTATGCGTTTAATTGACATTAGAAAATCGGTATTATGCGTTTAATTGACATTAAAAAATCGGTACATGTATTATGCGTTTGATTGACATTAGAAAATCGGTATTATGCGTTTAAATGACATTAACATGCATTCCGTCAAAAGTATTGTAGACGGGTATCACCTTCCTATATATATATATAAATTACATCAGGTTTTTACTAATTTATTCGAGGTCCAAATATTTGTTCTGGTCATTTGTGAAAATGAGATGGTGTGTTTGAGTAACAACAAGCGGTTTTAAATTTGCTGTAGTAACTCGCTACAGTTGAAAGGTTTTTAAAGGGTACTTGAGTACTTAATTACTCCGACTATAAACCTTTATATCAACCTTTGTACCCTACGGATTCTTAGAGAAAACCAATTAAACAAAAGGAAACAAAATAAGCAAGCATGCGCAATAAACAAAATTTTGTAAAAGATCTTTATTCCTAAAAGTATTCATGACATTTACAGTTTATACCATATACAATTTAATACATTTTGTTTGTTCCTTATTCTGTTTGGTCAAAGTATCGATCTTTATTTCTTTCCTCTATACCGAGTACGTAACTTTCTTGACGAGTACCAGCGTCTGCGCGTTTTTCTGTATCGGCTGTGTTTTGATGGTGACGAGGGTCTGTGCGTTTTTCTATATCGGCTGTGTTTTGATGGGGAACTCGTCTTGGCTGTAATCTTTTTGATAGCATTGTAGATCTGGTTCTGGATTCCAGCGTAATTCTTTACAGTCTGCAAAAGAGGAAGAATATTATAGAATAAATAATCAAACTCAGACTGCTAAAAATAGGAAAATAAATGATACATCTTTGCTTGCAAAAAATAAAAGTACCTAGAATAAATGATAGTTTCTAGTCTGCGATCAAATGAGAACAATGTAGATTAAATTATAGATATTGGTCTTCTAAAAAAGGAGAATATATAAGATACATGATGGATCTTAAAAGGAAGGAATGGATATAGTGCATTAGATCATGACAAACTGACTATCCCCATGTCAAAGGAAGACCGCTTTTGTTACTGTTCTTAAATAGTCAGAGTTATGTCGTCAAAACGGCAAAAGTGTTAAAAGTTTACTACAGAACAGCCCGTAGCACCAATTAAACAGAACTATTTGCTAGATTTTATTTTTGCTACGTCTGCGCACTGCAAAACACATATGTTGGGTGATTGCACTGCAAAACACATATGCTGGGTGATTGCACTGAAAAACACATATGTTGGGTGATTGCACTGCAAAAATTTATGCTGGGTGATTGCAAGTTGCAAAACACTTATTCTGGGTGATTGCACTGCAAAACACTTATGCTGGGTAATTGAAATGCAGAACAAATATTCTGGGTAAAATAAATGGGCAAAGAAATGAACAAAACACTATCATTGATTGCTGAGACTCTCATACTTAACATACAAGACCATAAACACGTTGCGCACGATGTTGGTACTATACTTAGCGTTACACGACGTTCCTCATAATGAAGCAATTTCACGATTTTAAAGAACGTTTCACTAAAGCGTTCAAGCTTATAATTGATGAGGTCAATTTACTGTTGTGAATTTGGTAACCGATTTCGGTTTGTCTGAAAATGCATAGTTTAACAAATAAAACTCAAAGTGGTCGTACACATCTTTTTTTTTTAATGAATATTCATTTATAGGAGTTGTCAGTCTTTCCAGGCCATAATTGATAATTTTACTTTTGGCAGCAGTTCGCATTAATGAATCATACATTAATTTCCAAATTTATACAGATTTCTTTTTAATATAAATTAGATTTTGAACTTATTTTCCCTTTTTATTGCATGTTTATACATACTCCTTGTGTTGCATTGCTTTCCGTTTCCGTTTCCGTTCTATATTTTATTATTTCCCGATGCTTTCTTTGTCGCAACATTTCTAGGTAGATAAACATTTTGGATTCATGTTTTTCTCATTTCCGTATTTTTGTGGCATTATGCATATCCTTTGTTTTGTTATAATTGCCAGCAATGGTTTTTCTCTATTTTATTTTATTAACAAAAAAATTATGCATGTCGCTTTTGATGATATAAAACTTGCAGATAGACAACGTTCCTTGAAAAAAAACCAATGTCATGAATGTGCTGGAAAAAAAAACTAAGATCCCGATATTTTTTATATCAATCTCATTTGGTCAACATTTGAATTTAAACTTAAACTTTTCCTTTATCATACATTGGTTATAAAATTATTATAACTTGTATTTTTATTTTCATTCGAATTAAACTGGATACAAATAATTATGATATAAAATTGAAAACCCGAGCATGACATCAATTACGTTTTGCGAACGTTGGGACAAAACGGCTATACTTTTTGAAACGATCTAAAAATCTTGTTGCCTATCGAAAAAATGTTAAACACTATATTGTTTAAAAAGAAAAAGAAAAAAAAACTTTTACCGCCTAGTTTTATTTTCTGTGATCTAACTATGCTTATTTAATATACAGCCGGTAAAAACCTCAATTGTAAAGAAAATACAGCGTTTTTTTCGTTGGGACAAGATGGCTATACTTTTTGAAGTCATTGCAATAGAAACTATACGCATGGTTTCGGCAAAAAAATATCATGAACCAGGAGAAAAATAAAAAAACTTTCAAAATATCATAAATATTTTTCCTCTCAGCTTTTCCAATTACACGGTATAAATGCGCAAACCCGATATATGCTTACCTTGCATATGCTTGGACATTTTTCAGACCGTTTTCAAAAATAACATTTTCCGGTTTATGGTTTCAGTGATATTGATTTTGCTTTAACAAGCAATTAACAATAACAATAGCAATACTCTTGTGAAGTTTTACGATGATCAGAAAAAAAAATACCGTAGGAAAGAAACGGAACTCCGATCTTTTGCACACAAAATGTAACGTTGGACATTACGTTTTTGCGTAAAAATAGGATAATTAAGTGTTATAATTCTTGATATTTTAAATTTCGGTTCCTTTTTTTCTTAATTTTCAAGTCTAATGTAATAAATTCAACCAGAAATCACTATATTTTTATCGAACTGACCAGTCTACGTATTTATTTTCATGCTAATCTATAGCAAAATGGAATTCGTACCAACATTGTGCGCAACGTCAAAACAAACAATAGATTCGGGTACAGATTAAGACAGCAATGACCCCCCCCCCCCCCACACACACACACACACCCACCCTTCACCCCCTAGTTGATCAATAAAAAAATGTTTGGCATTATATTGAAGAAAACATGTTTGATTCGCTACGCCGGTGCTATCTTTACCATTGCTGACAATTACGTCCCCCTGTCTGGAATCCTAGGTCCGCATAAGACCATACATATCATAGATAACTTGGTAAGGAATATTGCATGAAAACGGCAACCAATTTCGTTAACACTACATTTCAATTTCCAAAGGCAAACAGAACGGAAGAGAAAGACTAGAGTAAACTAGATAGAGGTTAACTGTAAAAATATAAGAGCATCATATTTTCTTGATACGATTTAAAACATTGACCTTTGGTCTGTATAATAACCAGGAAAACTACAGTAAGTCATGACAGACATATGAACTAAAAGCAGTCCAATATTATAGCCCTAGCCAATATAGGCATGACTATACCATGGTTTTGCAAGACATTTTCTATCTATAGTACATGTAACGGTAAGGATGTTGAATGAACGGCAAAACATATCCACCATGAATATTTTAATAATTGACATAAAGAAATAAAAAGCCAGGTTTGGTTCCAATCACTGGTTTCAGAGGATAACAGTTTGTGGGAGGATAATGATAAAGAACGCTAAAAGTTACCATTTAATTTCATCGATTTTGTCCAGATGACTTTATATTCCACGAGAATAACTGCAGCTCTTTTTCAGAGAAATATAACTTTAACAAAATAAAAATAAAGAACTGTCAGGAAATTGCCAATGAGGCAAAACACATATCCCCCCAGAAACTAAAAGACGAGGATTAAACAATTACAGGTCAGACCTCAACAACGAGGAAACACCATACTGTATCGTAAGCTATAAAAAGCCCCGACATGACAAAATCTGAAACATTTCAAAATAGAAAACCAATAACAAGATTTACGATAAAAAACAATAAAACGGAAAAAACAGGACAGACAGCAACAGGCTCTTGACCTGGGACAGGTACATACAAAATAGGCCTGGGTAAAACATGTTTGCAAGCGCTAAAATCTCCTGTAACCTTGGCATAACAAAGTTGCATAATAGAGAGGCGAAAGATACCCAATGGACATTCAAATTATAAGTCGAAAATAAACTGACAACGCCGTTCCTACAAAAGAAAAAGACCAACAAACAAACAATAGTACACAAAACACAACATAGAAAACTAAAGACTGAGCAACACGAACCCCACCAAAAACTGGGGTGATCTCAGGTGCTCCGGAAAGGTAAGCAGATCCTGCTCCACATGTGGCATCCGTCGTGTTGCTCATGTTAGTATACTTCTTTTTTCATGTGGTATTACGATCACGTGATTCAAATGGTATTCCATGTACCTGAAGCCTTGTTTCTATTTTCAAGTATATGGACGCTATTTTTCTATTTATATATATACTGTCGGTCAAAATTAAAAATCTTAAAAAATACAATGTAAAATACACAGAAAGAACATTGAATATAAAAATAAGGAGATGTGGTATGATTGCCAATGAGACAACTATCCGCCAAAGTGCAAATGTAGTGGAAGTCCATTTCCATATTACACTATTTATATAATTTATGGAATATATAAATTAAAGCCTTTCACTCAGTCAATACGTTATATATGAACCTGTTAGAACATATCGACACTCGGACTTCGTCCTCGGTCAATATAATCTGAATAGGTCCATATATAACGCATTGACCTCGTCAAACGTCCATAAATGAAAAATATATAATAGGCTGATATGATTTAAGATCTCATATGTAGCTATAACAAACATTTGCAAATCAATTGCATATATAGTAAGGTCAACTACTGCTTACCCTTCCGGAGCACCTTAGATCACCCCCAGTTTTTGGTGGGGTTCGTGTTGCTCATTCGTAAGTTTTCTATGTTGTGTTTTGTGTACTATTATTTGTCTGTTGGTCTTTTTCCTTTTTTTAGCAATGTCGTTGTAAGTTTTTTTTTCGACTTATGAGTTTGAATGTACCTCTGGTATCTTTCGCCTCTCTTCTACATATGACGACAAACAATCGTTGATCCCGTAAAATTATCGTTTACAAATTGTCATTACTATCGAGAATCAGAAAAATATGGTAACGGTTTCATGACAACTGGTGTAAATATCTGTTTTAGATTCTGAAAAGAGATGCGAAAGTTACCAAAGGGATATTTAAACTCGTACTTCGAAAACAAGCTGACAATGCCATGGCAAAAACCGAAAAACAAGGACAAGATAAACTACAGTACACAATACACAACATAGAAAATTAAAGACTGAGCTACGCGAATCCCATAAAAACACGGGGGTATTTTACTGATCTCATGTGCTCCGGAAATGGTCAGTCGATTCTGCTACGCATGTTGCATCCGTGGGGTTGCTCATGAAAGTACAAAAAAGGCGTTCTTTTATTGAATTTGAGTTGAATGAAGTTTAAAGTAACTGATGGTATTCCACCAGATATTTAACTGAACGGATAATGTAATCCTGTACAAATAATTATCCGATAAGGGATATGTTAACTTTCAAAGACTATATATATAAATTCTGTGCCAATCCTAATTCCATCATAGTGCCTCCGAAAAAGGTCTGCAAAGGACTGAAACCGGTCACGCTATGAACCATCATCAGGCGCAATTAACTATATGTTTTGGCATTTGATATTGAATGCGACAAACATTAATTTTTGTATACTTACACCAGCATTTACTTGGTAGGAACCGGGAGTTTTCTTAATGCCATATTTGGTTCCGTATGCTTTTTCTGAAGAAAAATCCATTATATCAATATACATAAGCATGAGTGTACCTTATATAAATCTCGGCAAATCATCAAGTATTAACGGGCATACTATTTAAATTAAGTGTCTTAAAGCTTCTCTCCTGACACAAATGACGATTTGCATAAACCTGGGACTATTATACTAACGTTAGTATAATAGTCCCAGCATAAACCGAGTTTGGTTTTTTTGTACTATTTCATGTGCTTTTACTGGTTTCTTGTTTGGCAAACTGGGAACCTGTCAGGTACAGCGCAATTATCTAGGTTTTCCCTGATCACTATTACGTAATAAAGGAACAACAGGTGCTCGAAATTCCTTAAATCCTATATCTAAGCAAAACAAAAATTGATCGATCGTGTCACCATCATAATAAAATGATTAAAAAATAAGTATCTATACTACTAAAATAACGAGGTCCAATTTGTTATCCGGTATGGGGTAAAAACGACGAATCCAAGAATTCAACTTTATTTATAACTAATATATAGGACAATGGTGTTGGTTTAGAATTTCACCATTCCAGGCCCTTTTGTTTTCCACATAATTAATATTACCAATAATTAACAAGTTCTGGGTCGAATCCGATACCGATACCAATAGTATATGTCACCTGTTACCTAACCTATTACCTAATCTGTACGTTCCGCATCTGTCAGATGCACTACCAAACGGTGTATTTGGGATTTGATATATGCACGGATCATAATCACACATGGATTTCGTCATTATACAGGGATTGACACTACTAAGTTCAATCATTGTCACATGTAGTTTACGGTTATAGTATTTTAATCAGCATGACTTTATACATGTAAGGTGACAATACGAATACTAAAATACAGACTAAAAATAAGGTGTACATGTAGGTACTTTCCAATTTGTTAGCCGGCATGAAGTGCATTTGTAAAAACATGGAATCAAAGAATTCAACTTCATATATAACTAATATAGGACAATGGTGTTGGTTAAAAAATTAAACCATTCCAGGCCCTTTTGTTTTCCACATAATTAATATTACCAATAATTAACAAGTTCTGGGTCGAATCCGATACCGATACCAATAGTATATGTCATCTGTTACCTATTACCTTATCTGTACGTTCCGCATCTGTCAGATGCACTACCAAACGGGGTATTTGGGATTTGATATATGCACGGATCATAATCACACATGGATTTCGTCATTGTACGGGGATTGACACTACTAAGTTCAATCATTGTCACATGTAGTTTACGGTTATAGTATTTTAATCAGCATGACTTTATAAGGTGACAATACGAATACTAAATACGAATACTAAAATACAGACTAAAATAAGGTGTAGGTACTTTCCAATTTGTTAGTCGGCATGAAGTACATTTGTAAAAACATAGAATCAAAGAATTCAATTTTATATATAACTAATATAGGACAATGGTGTTGGTTAAAAAGTTAAACCATTCCAGGCCCTTTTTGTTTTCCAAAAAAAATAATATTACCAATAGTTAATAAGTTCTGGGTCGACGGGTTCAAATAGAAAGATTTTAAAAGCAGAGAACAAAGTGCAGCTTATAATCAACATGACTTTATCAAATGACAACACGAATACTAAAAATCCATGCTATATAATAAGGCTTATATATAATTAGATACTTTAATTCTGTCATGGACCCGTGATGTCGCGGGTGTGGTCTAGTCATGACAAATAAAAATAGCAAAGTTACAGCGTGTTTATTTAACTTTTAACATAATATATTCAAAAAGTCAGAAAGTACTCACTGAATGGTCCCATAAAATAATGTCCAAGGAAATCGAAAGCTACATGAATCATTCCTTAAAAATAATTAATAATTAATAATAACTTTATTCGTAGCAACAAAGTACATAGAATATAATTATATACATTTACCTAATATCATCAGTGTCTAGATAGTAATATATGCACAAACAATTTGAAATCACAACGACGGACAATATTCAAAACAATCAATAGTTACGGAATTTCCACAAAGACATAAATATTTTTCCAAATTATTCAAACAAATCTTAGTAAACAGTCTATTAATATACGAAAGAAGTATCTGTACGAAATAATGCCGGATTTTATTTGCAACGACCTTAAACGATATTATTTTTTTACTTGGGATAAACTCTTTATCAAAAACTAGAATCGCAAAGCTGAAATTAATTTACACAGGAGTTTTCCTATCGATAATCCGGACATTTGTTCTTGGTAGTACGTCCGGTCAGGTGGAGTATATCAACACCAACTGCTTCTGTTCAATAACTTGAGAACTCTTCAAACATTGCTTTTCAAATTTCATTTTGGGGAAAATGGATTATCGAGGACAAAGTTGACATTGACAGCTTTCCGGCTTTGCTGTAGATTGGCAGCCTTTTGTTTTAAATGAAATGCTCGAAGATGTAACAATAATTAGTATTTAATTCAAAATTTTTGAAAATTATAAAAGCATACAGAATTTTTTTTTTAACATATTGTACATATGATTAGTGATGTTTAACTTTGAACATTTTATTTTTTTTCAAGTGGTCGTTGTTCAAAAACAGAGATAAAACTGAAAGAATTTTTTAGTGTGGCATATGTCTTTGTCTTTTTTTTTCAATTGAAAGCATTTTGTGGGAAATTATAACTTCCTAGAATCTCCGTAAATGGAGGTTAGTGTACGGTATGAAGTCACTGAGTCGAAGTTGTACTACAAACTGGCTCCTCCCCTTAAAATTCTTTACGGTTTATTGAACATATATTTTCATATGCAAGCACATGAAACCATGACATAACCGGAATATATATTATATTATAACGTGTATTTCGACCTCTTGTATTTGTTGCTGCTTTTTTTTGTCATTTCTCGTCCTGAACATATGCATGAGACATTTGCCACTGGACATCAAGCTAACAACAATCAGTTTTTGTAATTTCAAGATGAATATTATGTTCTTCAATTATAGGAATAGGCATTATTATGGAAGTTTATATGTGAAAGAAAATGTGGGATTAAACAAATAACTATAAGAGACAAACATCTTTTACTGATAACATCTATTTATATCGAAGTACAAATAATTCTGTTTATGTACTAGAGGAAAAAATGAGAAATGTGATCAATGCATATTTTATATGATTCCGCAGAAGGAATTAACACATAATCGGTCCGTGCAATATCATTTTTTAATACAAAGACAAATGTCAATGCATAAAAAATCTTGAGAACTATACATTTTACTTCAAATTTTACGGACTTTACAGCTGGAAGTTAATGACTGTATTTATTTAGAATTTAAACACTGTTTTCTTCCAAATTTTACAATATTTCAGTTTGTTTCTAAATAAATCGAAATGCTAGCTACAACTTACCTTTATCTCCTTGTGTCCCTTTATTTCCGGTCATCCCCTTGTCTCCTAACGTTCCCTTTTCTCCTGTTGAACCTTTGTCACCATCTGTTCCTTTATCGCCGGTAGATCCTTTCTCTCCAGTCTGTCCTTTGTCGCCCTGAGTTCCCTCAATTCCTTTGTCACCTTGTGTACCTTTATTTCCTGTCATTCCCTTATCACCTTGCGTTCCCTTTCCTCCTATCATGCCTTTGTCGCCCAGTGTTCCTTTGGCACCTGTCATTCCTTTGTCTCCCTGGGTTCCTTTCGCTCCAGTCATACCTTTATCTCCTAGTGTTCCTTTTTCACCAATCATTCCCTTGTCTCCCAATGTTCCTTTTTCTCCAGTCATCCCTTTGTCTCCTAGAGTTCCTTTTTCTCCAGTCATTCCTTTGTCTCCTTGTGTTCCTTTGCCTCCAGACAATCCTTAGTCTCCTTGCGTTCCTTTCTCTCCAGTAATTCCTTTATCACCTTGCGTTCCTTTATTTCCTTTCATTCCTTTATCTCTTTGTGTACCTTTCTCTCCGGTCATTCCCTTGTCTCCTTGCGTTCCTTTCATTCCAGTCATTCCTTTGTCTCCTTGAGTCCCCTTTTCGCCAGTCATGCCTTTAACTCCTTTCATTCCCTGCATTCCTTTCATTCCTTTATAGCCTGCCTCGCCTTTCATTCCCTTTGTACCTTTATCACCTAATGTTCCTTTTTCTCCTGCCATTCCTTTATCGCCTTGTGTACCCTTTATTCCTGTCATGCCTTTGTCGCCTTGTGTACCTTTATCACCTGTTTTGCCTTTGTCGCCTTGTGTTCCTATCATTCCCTTATCTCCTTGTGTTCCTTTAGAAAAAAATCACATTTTAGGTATTGTACACATATATTAAATTCAAGAATGCAGTTTACTTATTTTCATAAGTTATTTAGTCTGATAATTACTAAAAAATATCCCAAAGATAATACGAAATATTGATTATAATTAAATTTAACTTAAAAGTAGATTATCAGCTCTATATTCCAATAAAAAGTTGAAAGCAACAATTCCTTTTCTAAAATTTTAATTTATAGTTTATGTGAGAGTAACACGAGTACAGATGTTCGAATAGTTTTTAGTAAAATCGATTTATGCTTTGCTTCTTTAAAAAAGGGGGGATTTTAAATTTGTCTCAAATGCCACAGATTTGTGCCGTTCGGAAGCAAATACATGCAAAGTTGTGGTCCCTTTTAAGTAAAAAAAATTTAATAATTTTATATAATGACTACCAATATACATGGTATATAAGGAATTAAACTAACTGGCGATTTCTTTATTTTTTAGTTACAAAAACTGCGAGACTAAAAGTTCAGATATATACAATGTATAATACATATAAATGAAATTCACTATTCAATCCTATTTTTCAAGCAGAATGGAGAAATTAAAAGAAAAATATGTTTTAAGATTATTTTTTTAATCTTCATTAAAAGTAAATATAATCAATGGGATATTTTGGCGATCTGATTTTTATCGCGAATTCATCGAATATAAACCATTGCCAAATCAACAAATATAAACGCATCGCAAAATCAGCAAAAATAATCCTATTGCCAAATCAGCGAAAACAAACCCACCGCCAAATCATCGAAAATAAACCCATCGTAAATCTGCCCGCTTTACAATATGGATTTAGTTGTCCATGTTTGTTCATTTTATAAACATTTCGGTTAGTAATGTATTTCTTGAAAAATCTTGGACAGAGCACAATTGAAATGATGTAAATTTTACATCGTAATTTACTCCTTTTACCGAATTACTATTTTTCTAGGTGTATAATGAAAAAGAACAGTGTCACACTTGCGCGCTTTTTGGTTTTAAAATTGGGAATATATATCATAAATATCTCTTAGAAATTAAATCGGGATAGGAAAATGCTACTACACATTTATATGATAAATAAAAAACGCAGATTTGAAATGTGTATAATTTTTGGAAACCTGTCTTGGAGTTATGTTATACTGGCGTGCTAAAATGTAAAGCAACAGTGAGAAATATATAAATAGAAATTTCATATTCAACATTCAAGTAACTTAAATTTTCTGTGTTCAAAAATATATAGTAGTTGCGCAATAACACAATATAGGTCAGATCAGCACCAGTTTCTTGTTTTTTCAATAGCAATATCTAGTTGACAATGAATTATCAGAAATATCAAAATAATTTTTTTTTAAATATTTGCTAAAATTTCAGTTCACCCGTATAAACCTCGATGAATCCAGCACTAATGCAAATTCAAATTATGTATAATAATGATAAACATATGTTACTTTGATATCAAAATTTGGCCAGTTTCATAATTGTCTTACATCAAAAATTGTATATCAGAACCAACGTAGTTTATATATTTTTTGTTATTTATATACGCAAAACATTACGGGAATATTTAAAATAATTGAAAACAACAAATAAGTATCTATATATTTCAGCACCTTATCGATTGTTACCTACCCTTTTCGCCTGTCATTCCTGTCCCAGAGGTTCCCTTATCACCATGCGTTCCCTTTTCTCCTGTCATTCCTTTGTCTCCTTGCGTTCCTTTCAATCCAGTCGTTCCTTTGTCTCCTTGTGTGCCCTTTTCACCTGTCATACCTTTAACTCCTTTCATTCCTTTATAGCCTGTCTCGCCTTTCATTCCCTTTGCACCTTTATCGCCTACGGTTCCTTTTTGGCCGGTCATTCCTTTGTCTCCTTGTGTACCTTTCTGGCCAGTCTCTCCTTTCAAACCTTTGTCTCCCTGTGTTCCTTTATCCCCTGGTCCACCTGTTGCACCCTTATCTCCTTCTGTTCCTTTCATTCCTTTGTCCCCTTCTGTTCCCTTTACACCTGTCATACCCTTATCTCCTTGTGCTCCTTTCTCACCCGTCACACCTTTATCTCCGAATGTTCCTTTTTCACCAGTAATGCCTTTAACTCCTTTCATTCCTTTGTAGCCTGTCTCGCCTTTCATTCCCTTTGCACCTTTATCGCCTAGTGTTCCTTTTTCACCTGTCATTCCTTTGTCGCCTGATGTTCCTTTAGCACCTGTTGGTCCTCTGTTACCTGTAACACCTTTATCGCCTAACGTTCCTTTTTCGCCGGTCATTCCTTTATCGCCCAGAGTGCCTTTTTCTCCAGTTTCGCCTTTATTGCCCAGGGTACCTTTCATTCATTTTAAAGTAGAAAATGAGATCAATGAATATATTAGATATATTAACGTTATATAGTGGAAATAGCTTTTATTCTTGCATACAGTGATAGATTTCCACACATGCTAACGAACTCAATGTACATTAGATGTCCAAAATGGTAGTTATTGACAGTGTTTTTCACAATCAAAACAATGAAATGCTTCTCGGTCTTAACGAGAAAACGGAACATCTTTAATACAACGTTAAATGGCGTTTTATATGTAGGGCATGTCAATAAATATTTTTTTTCAAAGTAGAATCACACTCGATACAACATAAAACTAGAATTAAGACAAATGTCAACACTTGAATATGTGAAGTTTAAGATGTTTTAGATAAAGAATGTAGATAGTTTTCGACTTTATAAATCATATATTTTATGCAAATTTTAAACCTTAAGGCAACATGATTCTTAATTTGCACTTTTCTATATAAAAAAGCCGATTGTGGACACACAGTAATGTAGGAGCATGAACTTTTACTTGTATTGTTCGTCTTTAAATATAAATGTGTTACTAACCTTATAATTAATCAAAGTCAAACAGTTTCAAAATTATAAGTAACATGTATGTAACTATACTAACATATTGTTTCACATTTAGCAATTGTCATATTTAAAATTTCCTAGATGAGATAAGAAAAGATCAGATACATATAGCATGCATTTTGAAAATTCATTGGATTATAATGTAAACAAATTGTTATAAAATTTTTTATTCTTGTAACTATATTAAAAAAATGATTTTTGATAAGTTCCTTAATACAATGAGTGAAAGATTAGTTATAATATATTACCTTTATCTCCTTGAGTGCCTTTGTTTCCTGTCACTCCTTTATCTCCTTGTGTTCCTTTTACACCAGTCATACCCTTATCACCTTCGGTTCCTTTATTGCCTGTCGTACCTTTATCTCCTTGTGTTCCTTTGTTTCCCGTCATGCCTTTGACACCTTTCATTCCTTTATAGCCTTTTGCTCCTTTCTCTCCTGTTACACCTTTATCGCCCTCAGTACCCTTTTGTCCCGTCATTCCTTTATCTCCTGATGTTCCTTTATCACCAGTTGTTCCTTTACCGCCTGTCATTCCTTTGTCTCCTTGTGTTCCTTTATCTCCTGTTTCACCTTTATCGCCTTCCTTTCCTTTCGAACCTTTATCTCCTTGTGTGCCTTTTGACCCGGTCATTCCTTTATCTCCTTGTGTACCCTTTTCACCTGTCATTCCTATATCGCCTAGTGTTCCTTTCTGGCCAGTCATCCCTTTATCTCCCTGTGGCCCTAAATGTGATTGTTTTTGTATTAAGTTAAACAAAATGTAGCTTCCTTTTTAAACGTAAGACATTGTTGCAATTAACAATTATCAAAGTATTTTTAATTTATCTTATTTTTTTGCTGGTTTTTAAATTGTTTAATGGATGTGTGTAATTAGTTATATGTTTTTTATGTTAATACTTTTGTTTCTCATCCCAAAGTGAAAAAAAAACCTTCACAAGTTCTTCCTGTTGTTTATAATTATACATTTCTGACTCGAGTGTGCTAACTTAAAGATCAATTCCTTTATCAACGTATTTATGATATGGCAATAATATATAATGCAAAGAATACTGAATTTCAAGGACAAAATTAATCAATTTACATATACACATTATACAGACAAATACTAGAAATTATCTTACCTCCTATACATTTCTAGGAATATGATTGGTTAAAAGCAACCGCGTGGAGACCTTGTATATTTCATATTAGGTTTGTAGGCGGGGCTAATTTCAATACACAGTTAGTAGTGGTGTTACGTCCGTTTATAAAAACAAGACGGTGTTAAAGAAAAATCTGAAAGGTTTCAACAGACGAAGAAATTGATGATAAACGATTGAAATAAATTCATAATACACATTTAAAGGTAACAAGTTGTTACTGTTGGCATTTGTTTTTGTATAGACAAATGGAAGTAGGTTCTTAATACTAAGTATTGAAGACTGAATCACTTTGATAGGTCACTAGTCTAAATACCACATGTTAAAATAGTCGGTAAGATAAATTCGTTACAAAGTGTGCTAATGACCTAATACGATATATATGGGGTCAGTAAATTCCATATATATTTTATTAGGTTACTAGCACACTATGTAACTAATACTAGTAATATGCCCTGAGCATGCCGAGGAAATTCAAGATGTATTATTGGTTACATAATGTGCTAGTGACCTAATACGATATATATGGGGCCAATAAAATCCATATGGAGTGAGAGCAAAGCCGTGTTGATTTTTATAAAGGGACGTAACAGCACTACTAACTGTGAAACTAAAATAAGCCCCGCCTACTAACCTAATATGAAATATACAGGTCTCCACGCGGTTGCTGTTAACCAATCATATTCCTAGAAATGTATAGGAGGTAAGATAAAATAGTATACATGTGTTCCTTCATCCAGATTTAAAGAGTTTCACACACTGCACACATAATAATATCACATTCAATTATTGTTTTAAGACCAATTTAAAAAGGATTTATCGTTCGACCTTGAGACCTGACATCTTATTTAAAAGGACATATAACCTTTTAAAAAAAAGTTGTGACCTAAGTGGGGTAACCTACTGGAGCCCCATTTGCATACAAAGGACGGTAGGTGAAACTTAACATCATCAAGAAAAGAGGATGACATGTTTGAATGTGATAATACATGCACAAAGATTTTCCGATGAGAAGAATATACACATAGTTACGCACCATATGTATCTTTTAAAAAAAGTTTTAGTAACATTCAATGTAATGTGAATTGCTAGAGTAATATTCCACATTGTATTCTTAAATCAATTATAGATACAGGTTATGTTTGCGGGAACTATAATTCCATACCTTGCATGCCTTTATCGCCTCGTGTTCCTTTTTCTCCCATCATTCCTTTATCTCCCAGTGTTCCTTTATCGCCATCAGTTCCTTTGTCACCTTCTGTTCCTTTTGATCCTGCCATTCCTTTTACACCTTTCATTCCCTGCATTCCTTTCATACCTTTATATCCCGTCTCTCCTTTCATTCCTTTGGCTCCTTTATCGCCTAGTGTTCCTTTTTCTCCAGTCATTCCTTTATCACCTCGAGTTCCCTTGTTTCCTGGCATTCCCTTATCGCCGTTTGTTCCCTTTTCTCCTGTCATTCCTTTATCTCCCAACGTTCCTTTTTCTCCTTTATTTCCCGTCATTCCTTTATCCCCTTGTGTACCTAAATATTTGATGTATCATTAGAATTGCTTATTAGCTATGATAGAAGTTACATAAAAGAACAGAGTTCCAATGTCCCCCGCGTTGCACATATTTTATCTATCCAGGGGCAATATCTGAAAAAACAACACTTTTTTTTTGTTGATCTTTAAAACAATTTATAAATAAAAAGCGTGCGCGGTGGGACAAAAAAGATTTTTTTTTATTGTATACTAAATATTTCAAACAGACCTTCAAGGGTATTACTTATAGTATACTATAAGTTTAATAAAAAATGTACACGTGAGAGCACTAACGAGGCCATTTTCCATTCGTTTAATATTTCCAAGGGCATAACTCTTTCAAAAATGTCAATCGGCCACCATTATAGAACTTGTCCGAGATATTGCTGATATTAACCTATAGTACAAGTTTTATAAAAATCTGGCAAGAATCGTTCCCTTGAGAGTGCTAACACGGCCATTTCCATAGATTTAATATTTCCAAGGGGCATAACTCTTTAAAAAAAAAACCGATCGGCCACCATTATAGAACTTGTCCGAGATATTGCTGTTATTAACCTATAGTATAAGTACTATATATTCTGGCAAGATTTGCACCTGTGAGAGCGCTAACAAGACTGGACGGACGCACGGACCCCCGGTATTTCCATGTCCCCCGCAATGCGTTACGCGGGGGACAAAAAAGCTGTGCTCCAATAAAAAAATTTCGAAATATTAAACAAAATCGTATAAACTCTCCTGTCACTTAGATATTAGAAAGTTGTCTCAAGCAGTTTATATTTTTAATAAGCAGTCATACATTCACATAATATAAGGTTAACTACTTATAATTCTCACCTTTATTACCAGTCTCCCCCTTCTCACCGTCTGTTCCTTTTGTTCCTGTCATTCCTTTGACGCCTTTCAATCCTTGCACGCCTTTCATGCCTTTATATCCCGTCTCTCCCTTCATTCCCTTTGCTCCTTTGTCTCCTTCTGTTCCTTTTTCTCCGGTCATTCCTTTATCACCTAGCGTTCCTTTTGCTCCGGTCAATCCTTTGTCACCTTGTGTTCCCTTTCTCCCGGTCATACCCTTGTCACCTTGTGTTCCTTTTTCTCCGACCATACCCTTGTCACCTAATGTTCCCTTTTGACCTGTCATACCCTTATCACCTGTCGTTCCTTTCTCTCCTGTCATTCCCTCATCTCCTTGCGTTCCTTTTTGACCAGTCATTCCTTTGTCACCTTCTGTTCCTTTATCTCCTGCCATTCCTTTGGCGCCTTTCATACCTTTATATCCCGTCTCTCCCTTCATTCCTTTGGCTGCTTTATCGCCATTTGTTCCTTTTTGTCCTATCATTCCTTTATCACCTAGTGTTCCTTTTTCGCCTGTCATGCCTTTGTCCCCTTGTGTTCCTTTTTCACCAGTCATGCCTTTGTCTCCTTGAGTTCCTGTCATTCCTTTATCACCCTGTGATCCTTTTTCACCGAATTCCCCTTTGTCACCTTGGATACCCTTATTCCCAAGGGTTCCATTTTGTCCCGTCATTCCTTTGTCTCCTTGTGTCCCTTTTTCCCCAGTCATTCCTTTGTCTCCCATTGTTCCTTTCTCTCCTGTCATACCTTTATCACCTTGTGTTCCCTTAGTACCTGTCATTCCTTTATCCCCTTGTGTTCCTTTTTCACCTGCCATTCCTTTGTCCCCTAGAGTTCCCTTGTTTCCAGTCATTCCTTTATCACCGTCTGTTCCTTTTTCTCCTGTCATTCCTTTATTCCCTAGTGTACCTTTAGCTCCTACTGGACCCTTGAATCCTGTCATACCCTTATCGCCCTGGGTTCCCTTGTTGCCTGTCATTCCTTTGTCTCCTGTTGTTCCTTTCATTCCTTTATCCCCTTGCGTGCCTGGAATTTATAATTCATATTTCAAAAGATGTTCACTGAAAAATATATATGATTAAATGCGCATATAGAATGCTTGTATTAAATCGTCAACTAGTTGATTAAACATTAAGCAAAATAATAAGACTCCCTATGTATGACTTATACGAAATATTGAACGAAGAATGAAAATATTAGTCTTATTGTTTTCGTTTTGAAATTCGTCATCAATTTTAACATACCAATAATATTTTATATAGATTCGTTTTACTTGAACATTGTATTTAATTTTCCACTTAATTTCATCGCAAGAACGTATAGGAAAATTTGAAAAATATCTAGATAGATATTTGCTGAAATAAGCACTCGTATAAACAATATTTAAACTTTATGTTCGTGTAGAAAAAGACAACTAACTTGACATGTACACAAATAATTTAGACTTTAAGATTTTAAGAATCTTGCAACATTATTGATGTAAAAATCCTTGACAACGAACCTTGTCCCAAACCGAGATATCAATAGAAACTCTTCAACGAAGATTTCAAAAAATTTCCAATTTGATACTTTTGCAAGCTATTTTCTGACTCTTTTTAAAAAGTCCCAGACATTCACATAACATTTGATTATCTACACATCAATCTCACCTTTATCACCAGTCGTTCCTTTGTCACCTTCTGTTCCTGTTGCTCCTGTCATTCCTTTTACCCCCTTTCAATCCTTGCATTCCTTTCATGCCTTAATATCCCGTCTCTCCCTTCATTCCTTTAGCTCCTTTATCGCCGTGTGTTCCTTTTTCACCGGTCATCCCTTTATCCCCTTGTGTTCCCTTTGTTCCAGTCATTCCTTCGTCTCCTTGTGTTCCCTTATTTCCTGTTATTCCTTTGTCACCTTCTGTTCCTTTTTCACCTGTCATTCCCTTGTCTCCCAGTGTTCCTTTCCCACCAGTTATTCCTTTGTCGCCTTGCGTTCCTTTTTCACCTGTCATTCCTTTGTCTGCTAGTGTTCCTTTCTCACCGGTCATTCCTTTGTCGCCTTGTGTTCCTTTTTCACCTGTGGCTCCTTTATCTCCAGAAGTTCCCTTATTTCCTGTCATTCCTTTGTCACCATTTGTTCCTTTTGCTCCTGTCATGCCTTTCATTCCTTTGATTCCTTTTTGTCCTGTCATTCCTTTGATTCCTTTGTCGCCTTGTGTTCCTTCTTGTCCTGTCATTCCTTTGTCTCCTAGTGTGCCTTTTTCTCCTTGTGTTCCTTTTCCGCCCGTCAATTCCTTGTCGCCCAGCGTTCCTTTGCTTCCTGTCATACCCTTGTCTCCCTGTGTACCGTTAGCTCCAACATTACCAGTGTCACCTTTATCACCATCTGTTCCCTTCTTTCCTGACATTCCTTTGTCTCCTTGCGTTCCTTTCGATCCTATCATTCCTTTATCTCCTTGCGTTCCTTTCTGTCCAGTCATTCCTTTGTCACCTTCTGTTCCTTTTGTGCCTGTCATTCCTTTTACACCTTTTATTCCCTGTATTCCTTTCATTTCCTTGTAACCTCTCTCGCCTTTCATTCCTTTGTCGCCTTGTGTTCCTTTTTGTCCTGTCATTCCTTTATCTCCGTGTGTGCCGTAGTTTCCTGTTAGACCTTTGTTTCCTGTTTCTCCCTTATCTCCCCGAGTTCCTTCTCCTCCTGTCATTCCCTTGTCACCAGTTGTTCCTTTCATTCCTTTATCTCCTTGTGTTCCTGAAATGATCAAATGTGGCCTTGTTCATCTAACATGACTGATGAATTGCAAAATAAATCAACAAAAATAAAAATAATTAAAAGTTGAATGTGAAAATAACAAAAATTCTGCTTAAATTTACTCTTTTAGCAAATCTCTTTTAAACCAAAGAAAACTTTGAACCATTCTTTTTTCTCATATAAATGATCTCTTGAATCAAACAATGAAAATGTGAATCATATAGATCATCAATTATTAGATTGAAACACTTGCCTTGGCACAAAACCTTCCTTTACATAAATATACAGGGGAAACGTACATTGCTGAAACAAAGTGTCTTATGCAATAAAAAAAGGCTCTTTAATGTAGTACATTTGTACGAACAACTAATTTTCAGGCCTACATAATTAAAACATGTTATGTCTAAACAAGAGGCTCTCAAGAGCCTGAATCGCTCAGCTGTATTTTTTGTTTTGCTTAAATTTTTCATCAATGATTATTTTTGCTTTTAAATATATATTAATGAGTGGCTTAAAATGCCATTTAAATGATCTTTGTATCTGTTATATTTTCTTCAAAGCAAAAAAATGCATTTTACCCCTATGTTCCATTTTAGCCATAGTGGCTATGTTTATTGACATACAAGGAAATAAAATACTAAATTTATACTAGATACTCTGAAACTCATTCAGCCCAAGTTTGGCTGAAATTGATTCAACAGTGTCAAATGATAAGATTTTTTAAAGTAAGCAAACTAGATGAACAAATTGTGAAAAATTGTCTTTAATGGACAATAACTCCTTAAGGGGTCAATTGGCAATTTTGGTCATATACAAAATTATTTGAAGATGTTACTTTGCTGAACATTTTTGCTGTTCACAGTTTATCTTTATCTATAATAATATTCAAGATAATAACCGAAAACTGAAAAATTTCCTTAAAATCATCAATTTAGGGGCAATAACCTCAAAATCAGATACCCTATTTTGCTGATAATTTCAGGGCAGGTAGACCTTGACCTAATGAATACTTTAACTTCCTGTCTGATTTGCTCTAAATGCTTTAGGTTTTGAGATATAAATCAAAAACTGCATTTTACCCTATGTTCTATGTTTAGCCATGTTTTCTGAGGAAACAGAAAATAAAACACAAACTTTATTCTAGATAACCTAAGAATCATTCAGCTTAAGTTTTGGTTTAATTTGGTTCAGTACAGGGGTTAAAAAAAATTGTTACAGCTCACTAGCCCAGGACTTATTGGTAGCAGGATTTTACTAGCCCTGTTGAAAGAGCTGCTAGCCCATCAAAACTGACCTGCTAGCCCGAGTATACCTTACAAATTTAGAGTGGGTGTCCCTTGTTTTGAATGCGGCATTATACACGGTATTTGATAAAATAAATCAAATAAATTTTTGTTTTATTAATTATAACAAGGATCTCTAGACATCTTTTTGGATATCCCTTGTACTATGTGTTGTTAAATATTGTCGGGCACAGAAAACATGTTCATTGATCTTGTCATGTCAAACCAGTGGTTCAATTCGTATATTTGTTGTTCCCACATACAAAGCAGACTTTTTATCAGCGTTATCAGGAAAATAACGGCAATATTCACAAAACATCATCTCTTGTTTATCATCAGTAACAGTCGACCTTGCCCATGGGGAATCTTTCTGTCCATGACACTATAAATGTTTTTTTCCGCTTTTCCTGGTCGTATTTGGCATTTTTTGGGTATAAATTTTCAGCCTCATTACCCCCTTCATCTACCGTTTTTCGTTCTGAAACTGACAAAGTTCCTATGGTGGCCGTACTAACATGACTAAAATGTTTAGAAATAATTTGTGCATGGTTTCAAGCTCAAATTAACAGCATATTCGGTTACAAGTTTTAATTGCCTGAAGTGTAAAAGTCTAGTCCCGGGCGTCGGGCTAGTGGATTTTTTAACCCCTGTCAGTAGTTTCAGAGGAGAAGATTTTTTAAAGTTAGAAAACATGATAAACAAATTGTGTAAAATTGTCCTTAAAGGTTTGTAACTCCTTACGGGGTCAATTGACAGTTTTGGTCATATAAAACTTATTTGTAGATCTTACATTGCTGAACATTTTTTCTGTTTACAGTTTATCTTTATCTATAATAATATTCAAGATGATAACCGAAAACTGCAAAATTTCCTAATTTACCAATTTAGTGACAGCAACCCATGGTGGCCATGTTTTTTGAAGAAACTTAAAAACAAAACACAAACTTTATTCTGTATACCCTATACCCTAAGAATTATTCAGCTTTAGTTTGGTTGGAATTGTTTTAGTAGTTTTAGAGGAGAAGATTTTTTAAAGTTAGAAAACATGATTAACACATTGTGTAAAATTGTCCTTAAAGGGCAATAACTCCTTAAGGGGTCAATTGACAATTTTGGTCATATTAACTTATTTGTAGAACTTACTTTGTTAAACATTTTTGCTGTTTACAGTTTATCTTTATCTATAATAATATTCAAGATAATAACCAAAAACTGCAAAATTTCAAATGATTTGTTTAAAACGTTCTAAACAATGGAAATTCCACCAATGAAATAACGTTATTTTCATTTTGGTGTACGCACATTGAGATTACCCATAGTCCTTTAGATTTTGAAAAAGGCTAATTATTCAAAGTGATAAACGAACATTAAGTCCACAAATAAGATTTAAATGAACAAGAAAGAATGATAAAAAAAGTCGGAAGTATAATTTTTCACCTAACATAAATACAATTGAAGTAATACCGTACCGTTTTCTCCAGTCATTCCTTTATCTCCTTCAGTTCCCCTTTCTCCTGTTATTCCTTTGTCTCCTTGATTTCCCATCATTCCTTTATCACCTTGTGTTCCTTTTTCTCCTGTCATTCCCTTAATACCTTGTGTGCCTTTCTCTCCTAACATTCCTTTATCGCCTAATGTGCCTTTGTTTCCTGTCATTCCTTTATCTCCCAGTGTTCCGTGTTCACCTTTGTCTCCCTGTGTACCTTTTTCACCAGTCATTCCTTTATCTCCTTGAGTTCCTTTATTTCCTGTACCACCTTTATCCCCTAGAGTTCCCTGTCCACCCTTATCACCTTATCTTCCTTTTGATCCTGTCATTCCTTTAACTCCTTTCATACCCTTGTATCCTTGTTCTCCCTTCATGCCTTTAGTTCCTTTATCCCCTAGTGTACCCTTTTCTCCCAATTCTCCTTTATCGCCAGAAGTTCCTTTAGCACCACGCTCTCCAGGTTTACCCTTATCTCCTTCAGTACCCTTTTGTCCTGTCATACCTTTGTCACCTTGTGTTCCCTTTTCGCCGGTCACACCTTTATCACCCTGTGTTCCTTTTTCTCCTGTCATTCCCTTATCCCCTAGTGTACCCTTTTCTCCTGTTTCCCCTTTATCGCCAGAAGTTCCTTTAGCACCACCCTCTCCAGGTTTGCCCTTATCTCCTCCAGTACCATTTTGTCCTTTCACACCTTTGTCACCTTGTGTTCCCTTTTGGCCGGTCAGACCTTTATTACCCTGTGTTCCTTTTTCTCCAGTCATTCCCTTATCCCCTAATGTTCCCTTTCCGCCTGCCATTCCTTTGTCACCTTGAGTTCCCTTATTTTTTGTCATTCCTTTGTCACCTTGAGTTCCTTTTTCGCCAGTCAATCCTTTGTCACCTTCTGTTCCTTTCTGTCCTGTTATTCCTTTATCTCCAAGTGTTCCTTTCGTGCCAGTCATTCCTTTGTCTCCTTGAGTTCCCTTTTCTCCTGTCATTCCTTTATCACCTAGTGTTCCTCCTTGTCCCGTCATTCCTTTGTCCCCTTGCGTTCCTTTATTTCCTGTCATTCCCTTATCACCATCAGTTCCTTTTTCCCCTGTGACTCCTTTATGTCCTTGTGTTCCTAGCAATGATAAGTAATTCATGTGTATTAATGGCTAGTTTAATTATATTCATAATCCACGGTGACCTATAGTTTTTAATTTCAGTGTCATTTAGTCTCTTGTGGAGAGTTGTCTCATTGGCAATCATACCACATCTTCTTATTTTATATTATATTTCAATATCTTAATCTGATCGAATTCCCTATCAAAAAGGTATGAAAAAATGACAAGTTTAAAATGATATCTTGAAATGAAGATTACTCTCAATTGTCAAGGATGCAAGACAACTTTTTTTTAACAGACGAGAAGCATTGTTTTTACGGGGCCATACAAATTAGGTCAAAACCACTTTATTGTCTTCCAATGATGCAAAACCAAAGCGAAAACAGACACGAACAAGTTTGAGCTTTCTAAAAAGCTGTGGACTGCTTCGCTCTATCCTAATTTAAGGTAATATATGTGCATGTGGTTGTTGATTTAGTATTGGAAATGTGGTATTTTTAGATATTGATTGATATAAAATGGATGTCTTAGACTTGGAATATCAATTTTTGTATATTTAATAAGATGAACTTTTCTGAAATTTTAAACTGGCTGTTCGGTGTTTAGTTATCAATATGTTTTTGTGGAGTGTGGTTTTCTAGTTCTTTCAGCTGATCATTGACTTGCGATTTTGATTGCTAGTTCTGTATATAATTTATTTAGATATATATGAATGTTTAGGTATGTTGATTAAGAGTAACATGATTTCGAGTGATGAAGACAATAACAATCAAAATCAAGGAGTAAACACAGACTTGTACAACCAAATGATATGTTCACTTTACTTGTTGAAAATTAAAACATTTACAAATAGACATCACTCTGGAGGTGTGCCTCTCTGGAGGTGTGCCTAGATTGGCAGAAGTTATAAAATACAGATAATGCATTTTTGTAAACATTGTATAGGAACATTGTTAAGCAAACAAATCGTGCATATTGCAGATTAACAAAGAAAATAAACGTATTAATAATTGATATTTTAATATTGAATTTCAGTCTGCAATATATGCATAATAAAACGAACATGAATTAATGACAGTTGATCGGAACTGAAATACACATAGTTTATTTTCCGCATTTGATGTCTTATTCTGAGACGAAAAAAGTCTGTAATTCTTTATCTCATTCAAGCAAATAGCTGTTGCTGTATCGCAGCCGCATCATAAAGCAACCAATCAGAATCTATACTAGTATGTGATAAGTAATTATTTCAAGATGGCGAGTTTATCGACTGAAACTTATAGCTCCGCACCGTGATGCGAAGCAAATAGTGTTTTTTCAGGATCATACAAATTAAAACAAAAAAACACGTTATTATCTTCCCATGATGCAACACCAAAGCGAAAATAGACGAGAAGCATTGTTTACAGGATCATACAAACTAAGTCAAAGCTACTTTATTGTCTTCCTATGATGCAACACCAAAGCGAAAACAGACTAGAAGCATTGTTTTACACGACCATACAAATTATGTCACAACCGCTTTATCATCTTCCCATGATGCAACACCAAAGCGAAAACAGACGAGAAGCATTGTTGTACAGGACCATACAAATTAGGTCACAGCTACTTTATTGTCTTCAAATCCTCTAGAGTTTACTATTATGCAATATTAGTCCTACTTTAATGAATAACAAAAAAAAATAAATAAACAAGCATTTCTAACTGCAAAGCTGTTTGAGTACTCCTTAAAGGGGCATTAGCTGTCAAATTTATGTTCACCGATTTGACTCAAATTCTCATATCTGATTTATAACATACTAAAACGTATAAAAAATTATCCAAATTACAATACGTCTGAAATAAACAATTAACAATGCATTGACTCGATAAAGTAACCCGATATAAACATAAACATAAATATAAATAGATTGCGACCACGTGCAAGTGGATTTTTCTAGGTCTGTTTGATTCCGTATTATAGGTTGAAAAAAATAGGTTAATCATCGTTTTTACCTATAATGAATGATCTTTTGTGGATCGAATCAGTCAACGAAATGGTTCACCTTTGTTTCACTTTCAATGTTGACATTCCTTTCCTTTTAATGGCTAAACACGCTTAATACATTGGTAACCTATCTCGAGGATCTAGCTTAGGGGTTAAATTGAAGGTCACATGAATACAGATTCAATGAGGTCGAATTATTCACTTGCAAGTGAATAATTCACCAGCGATGTTTCTTAGCTTATTGTGAACAAAACTGCCCGCTAAAAGCGAATTATTATTTCACTATTTTTACTTTCATTAATGATTGAACAAAAAAAAATCATATTTTAATTTTTTATATCTCGTGGCTAATGTCCCGTTTAAAGACGATATAAAACCATGGTGTTGTTTCGACTTCTTTGGATATTTCTTTTTAAAGAAAAATGGAAAGAATGGGTATGGTATAATAATTCATGACACAAAACCTCTTCAAGAACTTAGCAAATTCTAAAATTACGAAAATATGTCCTTTATAATTGTTCTTAATCTAAAAGTCACAGTATGACATTTAAAATGGTTCAAAGGCTAACATCTCCATTCAAGACGTCAACCATCGGTTTAAACGCAATTCTTTGCAGAATTTTGATAACTCGACATTTATGCATTGAGTATTAGGGTAAATTGATGTTAACAAATTATAGAGTATAAAAAGCAAAGAAATCTGAACAATACTGTCATAGTTTGTCTGACAATCTCATTGAAAAATACAAATCATCAAATTGTTTCTTAATATGTACCTGTTACTCCTTTATCGCCTTGTGTTCCTTTCATTCCTTTGTCTCCTGGTGTTCCTTTGTCTCCTGGTGTTCCTTTGTCTCCAGTAGTTCCTTTCATTCCAGTCATGCCCTTGTCTCCCAGTGTACCTTTATTTCCCTGCATGCCTTTAACTCCTTTCATTCCTTTGAATCCTGTTTCGCCTTTCATTCCCTTGCTACCTTTGTCACCCTGCGTTCCTGTCATTCCTTTATCTCCTTGAGTACCTTTGTGTCCTGTCTCTCCCTTATTACCTGTCATGCCCTTGTCACCTTCTGTTCCTTTCTCTCCTGCAATTCCCTTATCACCTTGTGTTCCTTTCACTCCTGTTATTCCCTTGTCTCCTTGAGTTCCCTTCTCTCCCGTCATTCCTTTATCTCCATGAGTTCCTTTCGCCCCTTTCATTCCCTTATTCCCTTGAGTACCCTTTTCACCCACATCGCCTTCAGTTCCCTTAAGACCTGTCATTCCTTTGTCTCCCTGTGTTCCTTTATTTCCAGCCATTCCTTTGTCTCCCTGAGTTCCCTTTTGACCAGTTATTCCTTTGTCCCCATCAGTTCCCTTTTCACCAATGTCGCCTTGTGTTCCTTTTGCCCCTTCTCCACCAGTTGCACCTTTGTCACCTAGTGTTCCTTTTTTGCCAGTCATACCTTTGTCGCCTTGTGTACCTTTGTGTGAACAATTTAATTATTTTATTTGTTTTATAATGAATATACTTTATTCAAGCCATGCCAAAAATAAAATCCTTAGTATTGTTAGTATTGCAAAAAATAGTCCTTAGTATTTCTTAACTAAAATGCATGTGTTGTCGTGCTAAGCATACCCCCCCCCCCTTTTGTAATTCAACGTATCATAAAACATGAAGTTGGTATGACATTATCTGCTCAAACGTTAAAACTCATAACTGGTGAGCTGCTGACAAAATATGAAGTCATTCTGTTCAGTAGTTTCTTAGAAAAGTGTGCCGGATATGTTTTATGTTCATTCGACATACTGTGGATTCATTTATTTTCGTGGATACATGTACCAATTTTCGTGGATTGAGGAAAACTTGGACTTTCGTGGATATTTGATTTCGTGGTTTTCCAAAAGTCTGCATATATTCATAAAGAAAATTTGTAATTCGTGAACTATTTCAATTTGTGGTTTCCCTGTATCCACGAAAAACACTAAAATTGGTATCCAACGAATATAAATGAATCCACAGTATCAAACTTTTTTTTTTAAATATCTGTAACCAGGAAGTATGTATTTGACAGATCCAAAAAAAATGCTCATAAAGTTCAAGCTGCTGGCCTAATATGAAATCATGCTGTTTAGTAGTTTTTGAGAAAATTGTACCGAATTAAATCGTTAGACGAACAAACTCGACAGAGGAACGCACAGGCCAGAAAACATAAGATCGCCTACAAAAACCAATATTATTATTTAAACTGATAATCTTATAAACAAGGGATATCAGTGGAGAACCTGTCACAGTTCTAACTTAGTGCTTGGAAATATATTTATGCTTTACTGTTTCATAGGATCGATAGTTTATTTCACTCTCATGTAAAATAGGTGAAAAAATCCCCCGTGCGTAAAGTTTGTAGTGAGCAGCAACACTGGTGTCAAAAAGGGCAAAATTATGGTACTTTGTGCGCAAAAAATTTATAGATTAAATCGCGAAAAAATCTACATTAACAGTATTTAGCTTTTACCATGTACGTACCTTTGTCTCCTCCTTCTCCAGGTGTACCTTTGTCACCTAGTGTGCCCTTTGCTCCAGTCATTCCTTTGTCACCTAGTGTCCCTTTTGGTCCGGTCATTCCTTTGTTTCCTTGTGTTCCCTTTTCTCCAGCCATACCCTTGTCACCTTGTGTTCCTTTTTTTCCGGTCATACCCTTGTCACCCTGTGTACCCTTTTCTCCAGTCATTCCTTTATCTCCAGTCATTCCTTTATCTCCTAGTGTTCCCTTTTCTCCTGTCATTCCTTTATCTCCGTCTGTCCCTTTTTGTCCTGTCATTCCTTTGTCTCCTTGTGTTCCTGTTGATCCTGTCATTCCTTTGTCTCCATCAGTTCCTTTGTCACCATCTGTTCCTTTTTCTCCCGCCATTCCTTTGACACCTTTCATTCCTTGCATTCCTTTCATACCTTTGTATCCCGTCTCTCCCTTCATTCATTTGGCTCCTTTATCGCCGAGTGTACCTTTTGGTCCAACAACTCCTGGCGCTCCTGTTGAAATCATTCAGATAACATGACTTTAAATTCAGACAAAATTATTAAATAACGTATTGAACTAAATGAGCAGAAGGATGCAACATTATATACAAAGATACATGTTTAATCTGTTAATATCAAGGCACTAACGATTTCTAGAAATTTTAAGATACTCGGAAAGAAGTTCTTGTTATATCAAAAAATAATATCCAGAACAAAATAATTTACTAATAAATGGATTATTAGACCGTTGGTTTTCCCGTTTGAATGGTTTTACACTAGTAATTCTGGGGGCCCTTTATAGCTTACCGTTCGGTGTGAGCCAAGGCTCCGTGTTGAAGACCGTACTGTGACCTATAATGGTTTACTTTTATAAATTTTGACTTGGATGGAGAGTTGTCTCATTGGCACTCATACCACATCTTCTTATATCTACTTAGTTTTTCTCTCAGTTTACATTAAGATATCGTTTAATGTTAAATTTTCTCAAACATCAATTACTCTTTCAACCCATCTCGGAATTATACGAAACTTGGACAGAAGCTTTTTATGATCAAACAACAGAGGAATTTCCAGAGGTTATTTGAAAAATAAGGGTTTCTGTATTTACTGATAAAAGGACCTTTTTCAGTAATTAACATAAAAATAGAGTCTTGGGTTATTTGTTTTAAGACCTATATAACTGTGTCAAACCTTTTCAGAATTTTATGACCCTGTAGCAGAAGTTTTTTCTAGGATTAAGAGATATTCTCGGTGATAAACTTGTAAATATTTCTATTTAAATTCTGTTAGTTTTTTATCTAAAAGATGGACTTAACTTTTTGTAATTAACATGTAGTATATACATTCTGGGATAAGTGTTTTTTTTTTTACATTAATAACTTTATTAAACCTTCATGGGATGTTACGAAACTTGGACAGAAGCTTGATCAAGATCAAGAAATACCATCTGAAGAAAATAATAAATGTTTTTTTATTCTGTCCGTAATTTACCAAAAAAGGATGGTTTACTCTGGTAGCAGCAATCGCATTTGCAGACACACGTCACACAGGTTTCCACGGAATCCTTTACGAATTGTATAAATCTAACTACACCTTTTGGATATACAAAAACCATCAAACGTCTTTTTCTGACTTATCAGAACTAACAAAAAATAGGGTTGAAATATAATGTGAACCTACATGTATGCATAGTAGTCTTCATCTATTAATTTTTTATTCATTTTAAATGCAGTTGCATGATCCATTTCAAAACATGCACACTTATTCACCTTAACTCAAACACGAAAAATCAGTTAAGCTGACAAACGAAATAAAATCAAGTACCTTTATCTCCATCTGTTCCCTTATTTCCTGTCATTCCCTTATCTCCTTGTGTTCCTTTCATCCCAGTCATCCCTTTGTCCCCTTGTGTACCTTTTTCACCAGTCATTCCTTTATCTCCAAGTGTTCCCTTTTCACCCATTGCTCCTTTATCCCCGTCAGTTCCTTTATTTCCTGAAAACCCTTTATCACCCTGTGTGCCTTTGTATCCTTTATCTCCTTGTGTTCCCTTTTCGCCTGTCCTTCCCTTGTCTCCTTGTGTTCCTTTCTGTCCAGTCATTCCTTTATCTCCAAGAGTTCCCTTTTCGCCGGTCATTCCTTTATCTCCTTGTGTACCTTTCCCTCCAGTCATTCCTTTATCTCCCAGTGTCCCTTTCTCTCCTGTCGAGAGAGTGCCACGCTCTTTGCACGTTAAGAACCCTTGCAACAACTCTTTGAGGGGTCCGTAGGTGACCTGTTGCAAGGCTAAATTTCTGTCCCTATCCGATATACCCTCATTTCCCGTGGCACTCTAAATTTCTCCGACCACAATCCCTTAATCTATTACAGAACCTACCTATTGTATTTATTGTGAACTTGTTCTCGTCCTGAATATGCATGAAATATTTGCCACTGGACGTTAAGCAACCAACAATCAATCAATCAATCTCTCCTGTCATTCCTTTATCACCTTGTGTTCCTGTTTCTCCTTTGTCACCTGCTGTTCCTTTTTCTCCCGCCATTCCTTTGACACCTTTCATACCCTGCATTCCTTTCATACCCTTATATCCTGCTTCTCCCTGCATTCCTTTAACTCCTTTATCGCCTTGAGTTCCTATTTACAAATATAAATAAGATTATTTAGAAAGTACAATAATAAGACGCTGATAACATTACTCTTTGATATATATGTGTTTTACGATATATGGTATAAGTAAACATTTGTATACTAGTACATGTATATGGTTCTGTCCATTTCAATTTTTTATGTCAAAGCTTTTGTCTTATCTTTGTGGATAATTTTAGGTTCGACCGTATGTTCATTCAAACTGTCATATTTAAAAAAAAAATGTGAAATATTTAAACCGAAACTGTGTTTATCGAACAGTTATGAAAAATATATAGGCAGTACCAAAAGGACAACCAAATATTAGGGACATATACTAAGGACAAATGTGTGTCCCCTTTTCACCTTTATCTCCCTGAGTCCCCTTATCTCCCATCATTCCTTTGTCACCTTGAGTTCCCCTTTATCCTATCATTCCCTTGTCTCCTTGAGTTCCTTTAGAACCTGCTGTACCATCCCCACCATCATTTCCTTTATACGTAAAGATTCATTAGATGTAATTAAACAAACTTGTCATAAGATATAAGTTATATTTACAAGGTATAAGTTAAATTTCAAATATATAAGTTAAATTTACAAGATAAACGTGATGTTTACAAGTTTTAAATAGTACCTAAATCAGAATATATTCCCGAAGATTGTTAAATTTAACAGGTTTTCACTATAACAATGGTGAGTTTTTTCTGTCTTATTTCATGTTTATGTGAAACGTTGCATTACAATCGATATGTAATCGTCTGATCAATAAAGGAGTAGATCCGCTAAGACCCCTTTTTGGCCCCAAAATATAGCATTTTTACAAATTTGTCAAAAATATAAACTTTTAACTATTTAATTAAAAGCAGAATACTTTTGTTACATACCTATGTTTTTTTTACAATACAATGCACATGCATCAGGTACTAGCATGATCATTAATTCATGCAAAATAACTGTAGTCTTCACAATTTTAGCATTTGTGCTAATTTTTAGACGGCTTTGTCTAAAAGGGAAGTGACCGCACTTGTGGTCAGTCTTCATACTTATATATATGATGTATTTAATGATAATATATAACATATATAAACTTAAGGTTACTTACATTTTAGACAAAAAACATCTGAAAAGTGACGTTTTGTGGCATATTTGATAGATTTTTCATATTTAAGCTTGAATTTGAGCGTCTTTAATGACCAAATCAGTACAAATCTTTTACATAAAATAATTGAATCGACTGTAGTAGACTTTTAAGTGTTAAAAAAGGTTAAAAATCTTTCATCAGATGTACTTCAAATTCTAGGCCAAAAATAGCCCTAACCGGACCTTCTCCTTTGCCAATTGTGTTCTATTTCAAACGTCACATTTTGACTGCGTCTGGATTTGCATGGAAGATAATGTATTTTTTGTAGGAGATGGATAACCCTGCCAACACATCTGGTCCCGATCCTTTCAGCTTTTTGTCAGATGTTTGAGTTTTGTTTTTGTACTGTTGTTTTTTTCTATTCAATTTACATGTATAGTGCTATCATGAAATGTTCTTGCCTGTAATAAGTTTTGAAATACTGACATAGTACACAGAGCTAATGGGTATTAACAAACACATTATCGTTAACATGTTTGATTTCGTATAACAATAAGAGACTTGAAGCTCTAAAGAGCCTATGTCGCTCACCTAGGTCAATGTGCATCTTCAACAATGGACATTCTCAAACATTGTTGGTTAGAATAGAATTAACTCATGACAAAACAAAAATTTCTTGCATTGCTGGTAATTTTTCTGTTTACAGTTTCTCTCTATCTTCTTTTGAATTAGTTTAGCCCAAAACACAAAAAAGGTTGAAAATCGCCATTTAAGGGTAATTACTCCTATGCAGAGTCTACTATGGTTATCGGTAAAATTTTACACATTTATAGATCTTGCCTTGCTGATAATTTTTGCACTTAAAGTGTTTTATCTATCTTCTATAATTTTCAAGATATTAGGCAAAAACGCAAAAAGTAAAACTTGTCATTAAAGAGCAAGAACTCCAATAAAGAGTCGACTAACAATTTCTTCCATGTTAACTCATTAGTAGATCTTAAATAGCTTATCATTATATTTTTTGCTATTTAAAGATAAAAGGCAAAATCACTAAAAATGGGCAAAGAGCAATAACTTCAACTAGAAGTCGACTGAAAGTTTCGACCATTACACTTATTCGTAGATCGGTAATGTTTGCTTATTTAAATTTATCTATCTGTTAAAGATGCAAAAACGCAAAACATTGGTAAAAATTGTTATCAAAGGACAATAACTCCAATAAGGAGTCGTCGGACAATTTCAACTATGTTGACATATTTGTAGATCTTGTCTTACTGATCAGTTTGCTAAGTTTCTCTCTATGTATTAAAGTGTTATAGGCTGGCCCCTAAACAAATATATATACTAGTTCAGTGATAATGAACGCCATACTAAACTCCAAATTGTACACAAGAAACTAAAATTAAAAATAATACAAGACTAACAAAGGCTAGAGGCTCCTGACTTGGGACAGGCGTAATGTTAACTGAAGACGGACGACGGACGTCGAGTTATGAGAAAAGCTCACTTGGCCCTTTAGTCTCACAAGTAACAAAAATGCTTAAGTGCATTAGTGCAATTCTAAGTATCAATCATTGCCCAAGTGTAGATACAAGTAACGCACATCGCTTTAGTGTAGTTATAAGTGTCAAACATTGCTTTAGTGTATACGTAGTTATAATGCCAAACATCGCTTAAGTGTAGTTAAAAGTGTCAAACATATCTTTAGTGTAGTTATAAGTGTAAAATGTCGCTTTAGTGTAGTTATAAGAGTCAAACATCGTTTTAGTGTAGTAATAAGTATCCACATTTATCGGTATTGAAGAGCATGTACGAAACGTATATGAACTCAGCACCGGAGATTGCAATGAGACTTGACATGAAAATAAGGTTTCTGTGTTCTGTTTCCGGTTTCTTGTAAGTTTTGCATGTGAAAAAAACATGTTTTTTAAATAAGAAATTTGCATTTGAGGGGAATAGTTTTATTTGTGGATGCCACGTCAGCAATCAGGTCTTTTTCGTATTTTAAATCATAAAACGTATTTTTTCCATACCTTTCCAGTCATATATTGTCAAAATCAGCTTCGTAAGTATACATAAACTCACTATAACAAACTTTTCTGATATTTCTTCATATATAATCAGAATTGTATTATTTTCGTTCCATACTACACAACACTAAATACTAAGTCGGGCATTGAATAGCATGTACAAAACGTATATGAACTCTGTACCGGAGATTGCAATGAGAATTGACATGAAAGTAAGGTTTCTGTGTTCTGTTTCCGGTTACTTGTAAGTTTTGCATGTAAAAAAAACATGTTTTTTTAATTAGAAATTTGCATTTGAGTGGACTTGCGAAATTCAGTGGTTATTTTGTTAAAAATATATACATTCTATGCTGATTTGTAGTTTTGCTGAACAACATTATCGAACCAGAATGATTTTGATGTTTCAAACTGCCTTGCATTCTTATAACTTTGTGTTTCTGTCCTGGTTGGCTGGTAAGTTCGGTTAATTTTTTCTAACCAAAAAAAAATGGCATTATTTCGTAAATGAACTATATAATAAATCAGTGACAACGTGTTTAGTTTTATTTGTGGATGCCACGTCAGCAATCAGGTGGTTTTCGTATTTTAAATCATAAAACGTATTTTGCCATACCTTTCCAGTCATATATTGTCAAAATCAGCTTGGTAAATATACATAAACTCACTATAACAAACCTTTCTGGCATTTCTTCATATATCATCAGAATTTTAAATTAAAGAAATTCCCATTTTATTCGTCACCAGCAAAATGCCCAAACATTTGTAGGGCCAACGATATGAGGATTTATACGAAGATATAAATTGAAATAACAATTAAAAATTATTTCATTTTACCGTTAGTCCATATTCCATGTATACATGTACATGAAAACAGCAGAAAGGCTGCCGACTTCCACTCCATGGTTAGTCCTGTAGGCAAATGATTAGCTAGCTACATTAGAAGCGTAGTTATACAAAGCAAACCATGTATTTTACAGTAACAGCTGAAATCATTTGCATAAAATCAATTTAATTTCTTAGGAACAAACGATATCATTAGTATATTTTGTTATCCTGATTCGAGTATATAAAATAATACATTTGTCATCATTTAATTGTACATAAAGTAGAAAATCTATTTTTTTTTTTTTTTATTGTCGATTAAAAAAAAAAGGACACGTGGTATGTGTCCATGAGACACTGGAAAGTAATAACTATAAAACAGACTTTGCTTTTATTGCTGTTCTTAATATTGAAAGTGAGCCTCGGGTGCCGAGTGGTCTATTAGATTGTCTACAGTGAGCACTAGCCTATCAACACTGAGGTTGTAATTCGAACCTCGCTTGTGGCAAGGTACGTTCAACTTCGATTTTCGATCTTAATTGGCTAGGATTGCAAGTGTTCTTGCCGAATGTCTAGGGTTTTTGCCTAGTACTCCGTCATGATATAGCCAAGAAGGTTTGCTAAAAGGTCTTCAACAATGAACTAAAAGTCGCATCTGAAAGCAATTAGTCCCTTGTCTCAACATTAGCACAATACTAATGACTAGTATTCTTTAGTAATCATTTTTTGGGGGCCTTTATAGCTTGCTGTTCGGTGTGAGCCAATGCTCCGTGTTGAAGGCCGTACCTTGAATTATAATGGTTTACTTTTATAAATTGTAACTTGGATGCAGAGTTGTCTCATTGGCACTCATACCACATCTTCCTATATCTATTGGCTATTTATAGAAGATGAATTTCATTTCTTCTTCAATGGCTAAAGAAATTGATATGTAAGGATCAATTACTTGTCTGGATTAATGAGTTGCACTCAAAAACATTATTTACAATATATTTTCAATCTAACAAAGTTTCAACAGGTACAAATTCTTAACATGGTTGATGGAACTAAAGACAAGAGACTCATGGTGTAATGATTGTTGTAGTAAGATTTGTTGTATTTATAAAAAGATGTGGTATGATTGCCAATGAGAAAACTCTTCACCAGTGACCAATTAACATAAAAGTTAACAACTACATGTATAGGTCACGGTATATATGTTATATATAATTCACGTTTTTTTACGCGCTATTTTCAAGGGGTTTTTTTTAAATAAAGTTACTGTATCATGTCTTTGAACGAATTAATGCAAAAGCTACATGTAAAACTGAGAACGTCTCCAATTAAATTCTACCGTGGTAATAAACTCATTAATAGATACCAGGATTGAAATTTTGTACGCCAGACGCTAGTTTCGTCTACAAAAGACTCATCAGTGACGCTCGAATAAAAAAAGATAGAAAGGCCATATAAAGTACAAAGTTGAAG